CGAATAGTTATGCTGTGCATCTGTATGGAATTTTCAAGTTCGATTCCTAGTAACAACATTTTTTTGTTCATTCATTATGGAATTTTAGTTCATGGATTATGGAATTATAGTTCATCGATTATGGAATTATAGTTCATCGATTATGGAATTATAGTTCATCGATTCTGAAATTTTAGTTCATAGATTCTGGAATTTTAGTTCATTCATTCTGAAAATTTTAGTTCATAGATTAGATTATGGAATTATAGTTCATCAATTATGGAATTATAGTTCATCGATTATGGAATTATAGTTCATCGATTATGGAATTAGAGTTTCGAACCTATTTTTTTTTTTAAGGGGAGGCGCGCGTTTTATAAAAACGACGTCGTTTTTGCATCCGTATGCACCATGCTTGGTGCATACGGATGCACAGCATAATTTGCCGAGGAAATCGGCAACAATGTCTGATTAGTGTAGGTATTTTGGCCTTTTATACGTGGGCCGCAGGTCTTGATTTGGGCCGGCGTATTGGAGTGTGTGGTAGCTGAAATGGGCCATATATATATATAAAATATCCTCTATATTGATATATCATATATATCATATATGTTTAGGTTGGCCCAGAATTATAGGGTGTTTATTTATTTAATTCAATATATTATATTGTTCTATGATTTTTAATAATTTTTGTTGGGTTTATAGTGAAAATGTAAAATAAGAATGGTATGTTATTTTAATTATATCAGTTGGAACTAATGTAGATACAAAGGTCTTGATCCCGCGATTGTCGCTTACACCATTTTCGATCTAAGGTTACTATTTAAGTTTCAAATAAGACAATTCCCACTAATGTTGTCTTATGCTATGACAATAAACAAGAATCAAGGTCAGACGCTTTCTATAGTTGGACTATTGTTGAAAAAATCAGTTTTTGTTTATGGACAACTGTATGTTGCTTTGTCTAGAGTTAGCAATCCGAATTGTCTTAAGTTACTTATTTGCAATGACAATGGAGATTATGTTTCTTCAACGTTAAATGTTGTATATAAAGATCAGAGTTGTTTAATAATCTATAAAATTTTTACTCTGTATATTATTAACTGTTTATTATTTACAAAATATTAATAATATTTGATTTTATAGTTTGGAAGTTGTAAATAGCTATACTATTCTTCTCATATATATATATATATATATATATATATATATATATATATATATATATATATATATATATATCGTGCATCGTACGGGTGGAGTACTAGTATACATTTGTAACGGAAAGTAATAATGGTAGACATAAAGGTGACCGTTACATCAGTTACATAATCAACTCATAATATACACACTTAACTATATTTATAACACTCCCTCTTGGACATTATAACACCACGATCTTGCCTCATTAAAAACTTGCTAGGAAAATTCTATGGGAAAAACCTAAACAAGAAAAGAGTACAAGGTATATGGATAGCATATTTGAATACATTCATGCCTCATTAAAAACTTTACTAGGAAAACCACGTGGGAAAAACCTAGTTGAAGAAAAGAGTGCATGATATTTGTAAAATCATATATTGTACTGATTGCCTCATTAAAAACCTTAACTTAAGAAAACTCTGTGGGAAAAAGCTTAATTAAGGAAAAAAAAAAGTACGATAATAAGCCTTCAAGGCATAATATTAAGGATTTTGGGGTTTGTCTACTGAAGCAATTATTTTGCAACATTTCCCCATTACATCATTATATCATACTCATGCCTCGTTAAAAACCACACTAGAAAAACCAAATTGGAGAAAACTAGTAAGGAAAAGAGTACATGATATTTATGTATTTATGTGTTGCAAATGGTGCGCAACTGTTAGTCTTTTATGACTTAATCTTTAGGATTTTACGTCCAATCTTCCGGATTGATTCGAGTAAATGTACTTCCCGTCTCCCTATGAAGATAACAATCTTCAAGTTCTACATATATTTCAAAATTGAAGAGATGAATTTGACAAATCTTCTGGATTGTCACTAGAGTAAATATCTTGTACAATAATCTTATGGTTCTACTAGAGCTCATATAACATTTGTGCAACACAAGGCTCTACGGGTTTTAAAATACATGCACAATTTGAGTAATGGGTGCGGGTATGAAGGGAATTTTGTATACCCGCGTGGGTATGGGGGCGGGTGCTGGGGGAGGTATCCCCGCACCGCACTTATATATATATTGTTATTAGTATTCATTTATTATATAAGTTTATGTATATTTATAATTAAAAATGCATAATGAATTAAACTTCTTAGTTTTCTGTTAATAAAAATTGAATAGGAACAACATAAATAACATAATGAGTAAACACTTAATACAATTTATACTACCAACACAATTTTAGTTCCAATTAAGGATTAACTTCATTGGCTCTTATTAAATTTTAGAGTTAAGTTCAAACTTATAAAAAAAATTCATGTGATAATTAGAAGTGTAGTATAAAATTGTTATTAGATTTAAGTGTAATATTAATAATTAAAATTTTGGGTTGGGTATTACCCGCATCCACAAAATCCCCGCGGGACGAGTATGACGTAGGAATTTTATTACCCGCGCGAGTGCGGATGCGAATGCGGGTGTGGAGAGTGTGTTGGGAATGCGGGTGCGGAGTATTCCCCGCACCCACCCCGCCAGATTGCCATCCTTATATGAGGTTCTAGTGTTAAGCTAAGTATTTAAGATTGAGCCAAGGATCTCAAATGTTACGCTAAAGAATCAGATGAGGCAAGACGATGAGTTCGAATCTCATCAAGGACAAATAATTGAACTAAGGATTCAATTGAGTTAAGGTTTTATATTGAGCTACGGTTTCAATCTAAGCTAAGGAAATGGATGAGGAAGGGTACAAATCCTAGAGAAAGCAAATAAATCTCAGAAGAGCTCAGGATTTAATGGATGAGCCAAGGTTTTAATTATGAGCTAGGCTTTTAAAATAAAAGCTACAATTTATAAGTAGAGCTGGTGAATTAAATTAAAGGGAAATTCAATGATTTGGTCCCTCAATTATTGGTGAACTATCAATGTAGTATCTCAATTCCTTATTTATATATTTGGTCCTCGAAATTAATTATTTTTAGTCGATTAAACCTTTCTGGCCGTCCTCCGCCAACCAGCTGGTGAGTGGTTCGATTAAGAATGGGCAATGTGGTCTTTTCACTTCATCTCTGCTTTTTCCGATTTACACTTCATCTCTGCTGTCGCTGTCACCGCCACCAGATTCTTCCGCCATTGCTACTCTCTGCGAAACCGCCACTGGACCTCCAGTGCCTCGATTCGCCGGAGCTCCTGCCCCTACCGCTGCTCCCACATAAACAGAGAAATGCTGATGCCATGTTCCCAGCAGAAGAAGAAGGTGAGGAAGAGTTTTTCTCTCCCACGGGGACCTCAGACTGTAGAAATAGTCCCAACCTTAATGATTGGATCTCTCAGCGAGGGTTTGAAGAGCCATTTAGGGCTCAGAGTAGCTTTCCCATTTTGAATTTGAATTCCCCAATTGATTCTTCATGTGCTAGTCTTTCCATAGAGTTGAATTTGAGCCATAGAAAGTTGAGGTCCAGGTCCCCTGACTCATTAGTCAACTTCCCTACTCAATTGCGGTTCATTCCTGCCCTGCCACTATGGGAACAGAGGACCATACCAATGTCTCCCGGAGTTTCAGATTCATCTTTGAAGATTCTAGAGTCTCTGGTGATAAAACCGGTTGATTTGGGGAGCTATATGTGTGTAAAACTGCTGCCACCATCACCGCCACCTCCTCCTCTTCAGAGGTTTTCCCAAGCTCCAGTGGTGGAAAACAAGGGTCCACCAGTGCTTGTGGCACCACTAGGGCTCTAAGGATGACTAAGGGATTTTCTTCGCCGTTTTTGGAGTGTATTTCAACGCTTGTGTATAAGAAGATGGTTGAAGACATGAAAATACCACATTGCCCATGCTTAATCGGACCACTCACCGACTGGTTGACGAAGGACGGCCGGAAGGTAATTGACTAAAAATAATTGATTTTCAGGACTAAATCGATGAATAAGGGATTGATGGACTACATTGACAGTTCACCAACAATTGAGGGACCAAATCGTTGATTTTTCCTTTTTTTTTATTTTCTTACATGAGTTGTAAGCTTGCTAAGATTTATGTACTTTTCTCTTTTTTTTTTTTTATTCATTATTTATATTTTATATTGATTAATTTTTTTTATTTTTTTTAATGTGATGTAGAAGTGTGATCCACTTTTAAAAGTGAGTTGGAGTTATAGGGATGTAGAGAAAGTAGTGATCGAATTGCAAATTAATGATGTGAAAGTCAAGGTTGCAAAAAACGTTAGGCGCACCCTAAGCGCCGAGGGAGCGCCTAAGCGCCGATTATTTATTTATTTATTTTAATTTTTTATTTAAAAAAATTAAACTAAAAATTGTAAAATTCACTAATAAAACATAAGGTTCTTCTAATTTTTTCTTACAAATTATTTATTTAAGTGATTATAAAGTAGTTTAAAATATTGTTGAAACCATCTAAATCGATAAAAAAAACTAAAATTAAGAGCAGAAGAAGCATTTTAGGGAGAAATTAGAGGGCCAAACCGCCTTTGAAAAAATACGCGATTTGAAAAAAAAAATTGTCCAAAACGGACAACCGAGTCAAAAGTTATGCCTTCTTGAACTTTTAACACTTTACCATGCAAAAAAATAATAATAATAATTAAAAAATAAACGGCCGAACCGGCCGGCCGATTCCGGCCTTCCTCGCAGCAACCGTCGGGCACCTAGACGAAATTTTTGCAACACTGGTGAAAGTATAACATTGGCGCCTACTTAAATAAAATTTTGCATATGAATTCTAAGAAAAAAAAAAAAAGTACTTTTGATACCTGACCTTCCATTTAGAATGGTAATAGTGATACATTAGACCACAAGCTACTTGGCAGTTGGCAATGATAAGTTAATCTGAAAACAGATGATTAAAAAAAAAAAAAAACTGAATCTAGCACAAACTCAACTTCAAAACATTCGCACATAATTGACTATAGAGAGGTGTGCATACAAAAATATACTGCTCAACAATCACCTCTAATGGTACAAAAATGCAGAGACCACTTATTGAAATAATACAGCAACTGCCTATAAATAAAGGTCAGGTCTTTGGCCCTCTGCTAGTGCCAGAACCAAGCACTGCTCTGATCTATATTAGCCCAGAATATAGTGTGGTGAAAAGCTGGGTCATATGATGTAATCAGACCATTCAGAAATGAATGAGGTATGGTCCATGGACTCTCCAGGCACTCCCTCGTGTTTAGTCGGCTGCTCCTTCCCTCCTACTAGCCTTGCAGGATTCCCCACCGCTGTTGTCTGTGGAGGCACGTCAATCAGTACTACTGAACCAGCCCCAATCTTGGCCCCCACACCAATCTTTACGTTTCCAAGTATCGTTGCTCCTGCACCAATCAACACCCCGTCGCCAATCTTAGGGTGCCGGTCACCACCAACCTTACCCGTGCCTCCCAACGTTACGTGGTGGAGTATTGAGACGTTGTTTCCAATAACTGCAGTCTCACCAACTACAACGCCAGTTGCATGGTCAAAAAGGATGCCTTTTCCGATCCTGGCTGCAGGGTGGATGTCAACAGCAAAAACATCTGAGATCCGGGATTGAAGCGCAAGAGCAAGGGGCCTTCGGGATTGGTTCCAAAGCTTGTGAGCTACTCGATGGGCCTGAGATATATGGAACCACCTATTAAAAACTGTATTTCTTCACACGTAGTAAATACTTTTCATAACATGGGTGGATCGTGGAGTATTCATACTCCATAATTATATAAAAGAGCTTTGCCAAACAGGCCAGAGTAATTTATCTTGGTTTCTCCCGTCACAAAATCAAACCTAGAGCAATCCTCCAACCACAATAGGTTCAAACAAAATACTAGCAAAGACCCAAACAAACAAGTTTAACTCTCACAAGATCCCAGTTTTCCACGGCATGAACTTTCCATACGAAGTCAAAAATTAAATCAACTCTGTGATACAAAAGTTAAACAAAAAATCATGCTTTGTCAAAAAAAAACAAAAAAAAAAAAAACCAAAAAAACACAAAACAAAACAAAAAACAATAATTGTGCTTTCTTTGCTAATTATTCAAATGTTTTCCTTTCATATGCTGCCACCCTGCCATCCCAGCTCTTTGGATTCAGCCTTCGAGGTTTTATTCCATATCTGGTATATGACCACTGTCATATAACATTCAAGGCAATAAAATATTGATAACAAAAATCCCACCCCTTTATAGAAAGATGACATTTTCCCCTATGCTCTGCAAGTTATCAAACAGGCAATAAAAAAATAAAAAATTATTCATTTAAAAAAAGAGCTCTCAAATTTTATAAGCACAAAGGACATATAACTTCAAATAAATGAAATTTATCCAATCCTTAACATGTTTAACTGTCAGTAGACCAAAGTATAGTATTAATATGAAAATGTTTCTTGAAATATTAAAGCAAACTCCAAAGTTGTTGGAAACTGACAAAAGCAATTTGAGAACTCAAATCTTTAGATTTCTCTGCTCAAAGCTAACCTAACTAATTTCAGATTTCTGTCACAAATATCAAACTAATTTTCATTTCTTCCTGAAAGTGTAAACTAGCAATTCAAATTCCCACAAATGAAAATTAATTTATCAAACTACACTAATTTCCGTAAATTAGCAAGTATAACACAAAAATCAACTCCTAATAGGGAATGATTAAATTATTTTACTTAAAATCGATAAATTACCACAGACCTGGCAAGCGAGGAAGCCTTTGTAATTGAGGAGACAATGAGAGAACGAAACGCAGGCGGGATCACGGTATCGAGCGGCGAGGAGATCGGCGACGGTGGCGGCGCGGAGTTCCGGGTCGGTAGAGAAGGCGTTGATGAAGATGTCGTAGAGAAGCGTCGACAGGAGCGTTGAGGAGCAGAGCTTGTTCCCCAAGTGGAAGGAAATCGAACGGTCCAGCGACGAGTGCGATATTATCGTCGAGTACAAGTAGCTAGCCAGAGCCGGCTCCGCCTCGGCGTCGCGCCGAGCCTCAGCCTTGATCTGCATCCAAACCCAGGCCGCTTCGTCCGCCAAGTCAGTCGGCGGACTCGGCGCTGGCGGCGAAGCGTACAGCAAGTTTCCGGCAGTCATCTTCAAAAACGCTGCCGTTTCAGCTTCCGTGTTCGTTGAAGGTAGGTTCGAAATCGCTAGGAATCTATATACAGCGACATAGCGTGTAAGCGAATTCGCAAAGTTTTTTCTTATAGATTTTTGGAACAAAGGATTTTTGAGTCCAAATATGCGCCACGTGTGGCATCAGAATTGGCTCACCAGTTCAAATTTTTAGATAATTAAACTCCATACGAAATTGGTTATTTTAGTTAGGAATAAGGTTCAAATTGGCCACTGAATGTAACCTGAAAATGCAATTAGGCCATTGAACGAAAAAAAAGTGCAATTAGACCATTAAACACTCAAAAAATGTACAATTCGGTCACTGAACTCTCGAAACGTATGCAATTTTACCGGATAGCAGGTTACCATCAATTTTAGCAGATTACCTGCTTACGTGGCAGCTTAGTTGACATTTTTAATAATTTTTAATAATTAATTTTAATAATAAATTTTATAAAAAAATTGGAAAAAATTAGATAAAAAATAAAATAAAGTCGTTTTTATTTTTTAAAATTTTTTTTTAATAAAAAGTTATTATTAAAATTTATTAAAAATTAATTAAAATTTATTAAAAATGCCAACTCAGCTGCCACGTAAGCAGATAACCTGCTAAAATTGAGGGTAACCTGCTATTAGGTGAAATTGCACATTTTTGGAGTGTTCAGTGGCCTAATTGCACTTTTTTTTCGTTTAGTGACCTAATTGCACTTTCAGGTTACGTTCAGTGGCCAATTTGAACCTTATTCCTTTTACTTATTTACTTAAAAGAGTATTTTCTAGTTTATTTTATTTTATTTATTTAGTTTTACTTTTTTTTTTGGGATATGAAGGTGGGGGAGCCCAGATACACTAGTCGCAACCTTGCGATCGGACATGCCTCTCGCGGTCCTGTCTCAGGATATCTTTGATGTCGCTTGGGGGTGACAGAAATTCAACCTAGTCGCAACGTCTTCGCATGGCTTCCTTTGCGAGCCAGTCGGCGCATCTATTTTCCTCTCGGGGTGTGTGGTTCACCTCAATCATCCAATCCTTGCGTATCCATTCTTTGCACCAACTCACTAGGACCCCGCATTGTCCTAGTGGTTTTTCATCACCAGTGAGCCAATCCACAACTTGTTTAGAGTCGCAGAACATGTAAACTTCTTTTCCTCCTTGTTCCCAGGCCCATTTCAAACCCAAGTATGCTGCCCAAAGTTCTGCTTCGGTTGCATTTGCTGTCCTAGTGGTGCAGCTAAAGCCTCCAAGCCACTCTCCTTTGAAGTCACGCAGAATTCCACCACCTCCAGCAGGTTGATGCTCCGATATAAAGCTTGCATCTGTGTTAAGAAACACCGAATTCTGGCTTTGTACTCGAGCATGTCCTCTCGCGTTTAGTGTAGCTCCAGGGGGTTTCTGTTTGAGGAACGCATTTTTTGTCTCCATCTTCTGTTGTTGGATCCATTGGATTTTCGTACCAAGCTCCCAGCTTTCATTGTTGAAAGCTCTGTTGCATCTCCATTTCCATATCCACCAGGCTACGGTTGCAAAGAGAGTCCTCCCGTCCTCGTCTTTCTTTCCTCCTAGCTTTCCTGCCACATTTTTTTCAATCCAAGTATCAAAGTTCAAATTGAAAAACCAGGTATTAGCCCCATAAGGTAGAAATACTTCCCATAGTTCTTTTGCTGCTGTGCATCTTCTAATGCAATGATCGATGTCCTCCTCATGATTTTCGCAGGCTGGACATCTCGCATCCATTGTGAAACCCCTTCTTCTTCTCTCTACATTTGTCATGAGCTTCCGATGTTTGAGGAGCCACACAAACGTATTAATCTTCTTTGGTACTTTTAACTTCCAAACCTCCTCCCATGACTTCATTCCTTCATCACTGTTTGTTCTGGTTGCTATGTTGTACGCAGAAGAAACTGAACACCTTCCACTGCATTCAAGCTTCCAGAAAAGTTCGCCGTTCGAGTCTCCCTGAAGCGCCGACGATAGCTCCCTCGTACTCAGTCCCTCTAGCAGATTATAGTTAGCATTGCAGAGCCCTCTCCAAAGGTTCGAGCTTCCCATTTTCCACTTAAAGTCACACAGGTTAGAGGTGTCATGCATGTACTTTTCTAGCAACACTTTTGCCCATAGCTTGGTTCTTCCAGTGATCATCCGCCACCCTAACTTTGTGAGGAAGGCAATGTTCATATCTCTTAACCTTTTCAGGCCAAGTCCTCCTCTTTCTTTTGGCAACATGACTGTTTCCCAATTAACCAAATGTGTTCCATTTCCCCAAATAAATTGACGAATCTTTCTTTCAACTGTGTCGCAAACACCTTTAGGCAGCAGCATGGACTGCATTACATAATAGGGCATTGCCGACAAGACACTTTGCGCCAGGGTCGTTCTACCTGCTAACGTTAGATTTCATCCTTTTCAACCTTCAAGTCTCAACTCAACTTTCTCTATAAGTGCCGCAAATAATTGGTTTGTTACTCTTCCGTGGATAGAAGGTACACCAAGGTACCGTCCCAGATTGTTAATTCTAGCAATTCCGGCTTCACGAGTAATCTTTTGGGCTAGTTCGGGATCCACATTTTTGGAGAAGTGGATGTTAGATTTTTCCAAACTAACTTTTTGTCACGACAGGATCTCAAAGGTCCTCATGGCACTGTTAGTATCAGAGCACTGTTGATATCAGAGCAATGTTGGTATCAAAAGTATTACAAATGTCTTTATGACTAATCTATATCTGCATCCAAACTAATAGAACCTATATCTACCTCAAAATCGTTTCAAACCAATCCTTGTTCTAACACATCCCCATCGTTACCAAGAAATTGGACTATAAGTCCACCTTCCTCAATAACCGTGCCATGTTCTATTCCATCCCAAAAGTTGGGTGGCTCATCTACGAGCACCGTATGGATGAACATACATAGAACTTTTAGAAAGTTAAGCCTATTTCTATTTAAGTGATTCTCTAAAATAAAAGGTCCTTATCATCTGGGACACCATCTATGGGGATTCTATGCTCATCTAACTCAGGTTCAAATACGATCTTCCTAATTAATCCCCTAAAGTTTGCCGAAGAAGTCACTAAAGGGTCCATAGGAAATTCTAAAAATTCAAACTCGTGGAAGTTGAGAAAATGAATATACAAAACCCTATGATGTGCCCAAGGCCACAAAAGTTGAGGGACAATTTGATGGCGATCATCGAGGTTTACAGGAAGAGTCTGCAAATCACGAGCCAACGTGTCGTATCCACCCCGGACGGTGATCTGACCTCTTACCACGTCTTAAATGGCAAAAACAATAGCCTGTGACTAAATTTGGAATTGCCACCAAAGACAAGGGACCTCTGGTGGAATTAATAAGACAACTCAATAGATAATTGTACGTAATTGTAAATACTTTCTCATAAGTTTCTTTTATTGATCATGAATAAAGGTTTCATCCAAGAATTACTACCTCAAAGTCATTTGATTGCAAAGACAATATATACACAGAACTGTCATGTTCTGCCATTATTATTGTTTCATGTTCTTGTTAATCTCAACAAATTGATATCAGGGCACTGTTGGTATCAGAGCACTGTTGATATCAGAGCAATGTTGGTATCAAAAGTATTACAAATGTCTTTATGACTAATCTATACCTTCTATATCTGCATCCGAACTGATAGAACCTATATCTACCTCAAAATCATTCCAAACGAATCCTTGTTCTAACACATCCCCATCGTTACCAAGAAATTGGACTATAAGTCCACCTTCCTCAATAACCATGCCATGTTCTATTCCATCCCAAAAGTTGGGTGGCTCATCTGCGAGCGCCGTATGGATGAACATACATAGAATTTTTAGAAAGTTAAGCCTATTTCCATTTAAGTGATTCTCTAAAATAAAAGGTCCCTATCATTTGGGACACCATCTATGGGGATTCTATGCTCATCTAACTCAGGTTCAAATACGATTTTCCTAATTAATCCCCTAAAGTTTGCCGAAGAAGTCACTAAAGGGTCCATAGGAAATTCTAAAAATTCAAACTCGTGGATGTTGGGAAAATGAATATACAAAACCCTATGATGTGCCCAAGGCCACAAAAGATGAGGGACAATTTGATGGCGATCATCAAGGTTTACAGGAAGAGTCTGCAAATCATGAGCCAACGTGTCGTATCCACCCGGACGGTGATCTGACCTCTTACCACATCTTAAATGGCAAAAACAATAGTCTGTGACTAAATTTGGAATTACCACCAAAGACAAGAGACCTCTGATAGAATTAATAAGACAACTCAATAGATAATTATACGTAATTGTAAATACATTTTCTCATAAGTTTCTTTTCTTGATCTTGAATAAAGGTTTCATCTAAATATTACTACCTCAAGGTCATTTGATTGCAAAGACTATACACAGAACTTTCATGTTCTGCCATTATTATTGTATCATGTTCTTGTTAATCTCAACAAATTGATACCAGGACATTGTTACGTTGGTATCAGAGCAGTGTTGATATCAGAGCAATGTTGGTATCAAAAGTATTACAAATGTCTTTATGACTAATCTATACCTTCTATATCTGCATCCAAACTGATAGAACATATATCTACCTCAAAATCAATCCAAACCAATCCTTGTTCTAACACATCCCCATCGTTACCAAGATATTGGACTATAAGTCCACTTTCCTCAATAACCGTGCCATGTTCTGTTCCATCCCAAAAGTTGGGTGGTTCATCTGCAAGCACCGTATGGATGGATATACATAGAATTTTTAGAAAGTTAAGCCTAATTCCATTTAAGTGATTCTCTAAAATATAAATGTCCATATCATCTGGGACACCATCTATGAGGATTCTATGCTCATCTAACTCAGGTTCAAATACGACCTTGCTAATTAATCCCCTAAAGTTTGCCCAAGAAGTCACTAAAGGGTCCATAGGAAATTATAAAAATTCAAACTCGTGGATGTTGGGAAGATGAATATACAAAACCCTATGATGTGAAATACCTGCAAATTTTTCTATGTCTAAAGCTGAGTCTTTATGTGTTCCTTTACTTAATTTGGTGCCTTCTACTTCAATATCCTTGC